ACCTCTCATGGTTCTATTATTCTGCCAGTTCTGTTATTCTGTAAATATGCATGGTGCAGAACTAATATTTTTTGCTTTATACATTCCCTGAACACCTTTCACTCTGTCTGGACCTTGCTTACACAGAGTTTCAAGTATGTTTTTGAAACAGATAAATCAAAATAATAGACTACCTTAATCTGAGTATCCCATTACTAGCAAATTCAACACTTTGCATTTAGGAATTATTTCAGATTTTAGATTGAGACTCAAGCTTTTTTTTGGTCTAGATACTGTTAATAGATCTTCAAAGGGCCTTCATATAATTATATATAAAATATATTAAAGTATTGCAAAGTTGAGAACAGTAAGCTTTTTGCATATAACTTCCTGCTTTCTCTTTATAGAAAGGAAAATGATAAAAACATTTTCTGAGCAGCTCTAACAACCACTCCATTCTCCGTGAATCACTGATTGGGTTTGAAGTTTGAGTCTCTCACATAGCTTGAGCTAACTACACTAACTTGAGCTAACTACAGAAGGCTGTTATCCTAGGTGAAGGAAATAGGCCTCTGGTGCTATCTACTGAGTCTAGTGTGTCAGTGTGGGAACTTCATCCAGCTTTTCCCTTTCCTTTCTTTCCCTGCTACTTCAGGAGGTGTGTGGAGTATCTTCCCCATTTGGTGCCCCTAGAGGTGGGGGAGCTACACTATTAGATGACTACAGGTTGAACCTCCCAAATCTGTGACTCTGATTTGGCAACATTCGTGGTCTGGCAGGGCCACAGATGTTGATCAACCAAAGAGAGCCCCAGAGGCAGGAGCAGCATGGGCTGGGGAGACTCAGCTGGGCCAGGCAGCATATGAAGACCCTCACCCTGGCTGGGGAGCTCTCGGCATCGATGGGGCCAGGTGGTGGATGGGGAGCCCCTGGCATCAACGGGGCTAAGTGGTGGCCTGGTCTGATAGCCCCCAGCATTAGAGGGGCAAGGTGGCAGCCAGGGAGCTCCTGCCCCAGCCGGTGAACCCCAGCTGTTAGTGGGGCCTGTCAGCAGTTGAGGCGCTCTTGTTCCATCTGGGGAACCTCTGGCTGCAGTAGGCCTGCTAGGCATCCCTGGCCAAGAGCCATGGGAAACCTCTAGTGGCAGCGGAGCCCAGATGACTAGGCAGCCTCTGCTGAAGCAGGGCTGGTGGAGGTGGGCAGCTGGAATCCCCAGCGGCCGTGTTGCTGGCCCTAGGAGTAGGGTGGGGTGTCCAGGCAGCCCCAGCTGGGAAACCTGCTACGGCAACAGAGTGGGGTGTCCAGGCAGCACCAACCGGGAAACCCGGGGAACAACCTGTGGCAGTGGGGCCTGTAGCGGCCTAGTGATCTCAGCTGGGAGATCCTGGGGCAGCAGGGTAGGGAGCTGTGCCAGGCCATTGTGGGCAGGGAGCCCCACGGAGAAGAGCCCATGAGTAGGGGAACACTGACTTCCCCTGGGCCGGGACAGCTCAGGTCCCAAGGGTGCTGAACCAGGGAGGTCCAACCTGTATTAGGCAGGGTATATAAGATGAATGACTTAAAGCAGATACTAAGATTCACGAATAATAGGGTTGGAAAAGACCTCAGGAGGTCATTGAGTCCAACAACTTGCTAAAAGGGGGATTAATTAAATGGGTCTATAAAACAATTAAAAAAAGAATTCTAGTATGGCCTTGGGATGTAAGCAACTAGTCAACTATCCAATAAGCAAAAGCCAGTTCTCCCCCAGCATGTTCTCTGTGGGGAGGCTGGGGGTAGTGGGGACTGGGTGCCAGCTGGGAATCAGCTATTTCCCAGCTTGTGCCCAGTCCCAGATGCTGAGTCTGCTTTTTAAATATATTAAGAGGCTTCTGGCTCTTAATACATTTAAAGGGCTGGTGTATAGTGGGGCTAGGAGCTAACTCTATTGTGGCTCCCCTGCTTATCGACTAATCGACAGAAATTCCATCAACTAGTCGATTCGTTGATTAAACAAATTTAACATTCCTAGTATTGCCAGAAGACTGGAGAGGGGAAAAACAAAAGCTAAATGTGTATATTTAGGATGTCTTTTCTTGGCTAATGATTAAAGTTGTTGCTGTTGTTTGGATGTGTGGTCAACACTTCCTGTAATCCTATACAACAGTTTGTGGAGAAGGAATTAAATGCAGCTTGATGTTGAGGGTGCAGAATTTTGCACAGTAAAGACTCTTGTGAAACATTGTCAAAATATGCACAGCACCCATGTGGGAATGAGGGAGTTGATGTGCTTAAGCCACTCTGAGATCTTTGCATTAAAGTTGCTAAGTTAATAGTATGCTATTAAATGTATTAAGTAATAATGATGCAATACGAACTGTGAAAGCATAGGCATAGTACATGAGCCATCTAGCTTACTGGTGTTTAATTGATAATGACTGAAAGTAGTGACAGCTGTTCAGTGTGAAATGTATACATGGTCTTAGTTCAGTACCTGCTACACAGGTGCTGAGTATACAAACTCTCACCACAACCGTAAACTTGTTAAATATCCCTGCAGAGCTACAAAGGACTGGATGGACATATGGACTAAATGACATTGCATCGTGGTTACTCATACATACTCTGTCAACGGAAGATTTCAGTCTCTGGGGCTGTCACAGGTGGCCAACTTTTTTTCTTTGTCCAATAAAATCGCTTATTAAAAATGCAGGGTAACTAGCTTTTTTGAATAAAACAGAAATCAAATGAATAATTCTCATTTGAAGATCAGATAATTTTGATGATTAATTAATGGTATCCCATATTTTATCATGGGCTACCAAAACTTTCCTTAGTTTCCTTTTGGTAGCCAGCAGCTTTAAAGCTGACTATTTAATATGATAATCCAAACTTGCATTGGAAATGTGTGCTCAGGATAAAGTTAGTGTGCATTAATTGTAGAATATATCAAAATATTTTTTTACTGCCAGAGATATTTTTTGAAGTGGTAGTTAGGGGAAAAACAAATATTTAGAAGAGCTCTGTATAACTTTCCCATTTGACATAATTCAAATAAAGAAAAACTAATCTTCTGAAGTTTGGATAGCTTTCCAGGTTCTGTTGTCACAGAAAGCCGCAAATGCCAGTCTTTGAACAGTGGTGTACTGAACATAGGATGTAAGAGTCGAGAGGAAGCCAGTGGTGACTGTTGATGTGTCTTTATTAGTGAAGGTAAACTTTTGGCTGGGTGCTTGCAGCCACTCCTCTGTCTTGTGTAGTTTGTCATGCTTTCCTGTACAGTTGTTTGAGATAGTTTATTTGTAATTATACTGTAATTGTTTTATTTTGTGATTAAACTCCTGGAAGGATTCCAGGTAAATGTCCAAGATATATATTTATACATATCATCTTTGTACTGCAGTGTTTGATTTTTGACTTTTGGGTTGCTGATCTCCATGTCATAATTTACTGTTTCTTCTTGTCTAGATTTTGTTGTTTTCCATCATATTTTCTTTTCCAGTTTAGACAGTGGTTTATTTGAAGAGCAAAGAGTATGGTAAAACTTTAGCTATGTGTGCACAGAACTTTAAAACCATGATTCAGAATGGTTTAAACTCAGTTGTGACTGAAACTGATTGTAACAGATTTCCGTTAGCCACTGGAGATAGGCCAACTCTGTGCACATCTACACAACAGAGCAAAAGTTGAATTAAACTATACAACTTGAGCTATGTCAGTTGCATAGCTTCAGTCGAAATAGCTTAATTCGGTTTTTGGCACTGTGTACACTCATCCTCCGACTTCCCTTACTCCTTGTAAAATGAGGGTTACAGGAGTTGGAGTAAGAAATCCTCCAGATCGCCATTATTTCAAATGGCTTGCAGTGTAGACATGCTCTTTGTTATTTTGGAATAATGTAAGTTAATCAAAAATTAAGGCTCTGTCTACACAGCGGTGTTGAGACTTAGGTTAGGACACTTTGTTCTTCTCCCACCTTTAAATCTAGTTACAGCTCAGGTAAGTCTGGCTTACTCTGGCGGGCAAAATCATGTTATAATATGGGTTGCCTATGTCAATTCATCCCAGCCTGTAGAATGTCAAAAACATTTATCAGCCTTAGCACACATTCTGCTTGCTTATACTCATTATGTGGGAAAGAGATTTTCCTGCTTATGAAGAAAAAAAATCTTTCAAATGTTTGTACATGAAGGAGAGAAGGGTGAAATTAAAGAAAGTCAGGTCTATTTTAAGTACAGAAACACAACTTAAACCTTTATTTTGGAGTTTTCTTTATGTGGTTGAATTTATAGGCAACCAGATTATGCACAGAAAGAACTAGCAGCTTCAGGTTCTATACAGAGTAAAATAGTGGTAAACATTTTGCAGACGGGGAGGAAGACATCAGTACTTCATAACAGGTATGTTTTAAGCCTTGTCTGTTGGAGTATTTAAGAAGTTACAATGAAGACCACTTGTAATAAGTAAATAATTCACCTAATGTATGAACCAAAAATAGAACTGCTTTGTCCTTGTTCAGTGATGTACTATGAAAATAGCTCTCTCCTAAAATTCTAATGTCTGACATACTTCAATAGACCTAATTTAAATGTAGCCTGCCAGTCATGCTGGGTAGGTGCTTAATATATCATTATTATACTGAACAATAAGTGAAATAATCAGTGCAAAACCCTGAAGCATGTTTTTTTCTAGACCAAGGTGGGGAACCTGCAGGCCAGGCCACCGCTTCCCACAGCTCCCATTGACCGTGTTGAACATGCCAGCTGAGAGCTGCAGGGCTCTGCCTGTGGATACTTAATAAACAAACAATCTTGCAGCCTGCCAGCTGCTTAACCCTGATGAAGCGCATGCAGCTCATGGTCCGGATGTTCCCCACCCTTGTTTTAGACAGAACTGACTGTAACATCATGGCTTTGCAAATTAAGTTGGCAGTGGGTGAAGAACTTACTTAACCAAATAGTTCCTCCCAATACAAGGTGCACTGATGACCCTATAATATTTATTTTTTACTCAACTTTGATGATACAACCATAGGTATATAAAATGTCAGGGTTTTTCCAAAGCCAGTTTGCCTTTATAAATCAGGCTGTCTTTATAAAACTGAAAATGGAAGCCATTTTGTTGATATCTTGACTCCTGTGCACCATCATATTGAGATTCCTCTTTGCTGTCTTGGCAGCCTCTCTGCATTTGATCTGGTTGACCTGAACTGTTACTGTCTTCAGAAACAGAATGGTAATACCTGTCATGAATCTTAATAGGCTTGCATTATCCTGCTTATGTTTCTGGTTTAGACATGCTATATTTTCCTGCCACTAGGCTTATTTTTCACATGCACACACATGCTCAAGTCTTTATATTCCCCCTTTTGACCCCATTAGTCATTGCAATACATTCTTTCTTTACTCCTGCTTTCAGCAACAGAGATGTGCCTTAAGGGAAGGTATAAGAGTCCTCCCTCTTTCCCCATCAGAATGGGAAAACAGTCTGTGGTATGTTAAATTTAGGTGTGCCACATGAGCTGTGCTGCCTACAATCAGTTGTGTTTGAAATATAAGTACTTTTTAAACAAAGATTATATCAATAGAACATGCTTGGTGAAATCCTGGCCTATTGACGTAAATGGGAGTTTTGCCACTGATTGCACCTGCTGTCTCTAACTTCTGTGTTTACTAAGATTGTCTAGATGACTTAAAGGGAGAAGAACGTACACAGTTTAACCAAAAAATGTACAGTGCTTACAATCAAATTATTGCAGTATAGTACTTATGTAGGACAGTTGCAAAATGAAACCGAAAAGAAATACATTAGCCAGTTTCATTTCTTTATGTAGGTAAGGTTTATTTTCCAAATTGAGTGAATTGTGAGAAGAAAACTAGATCTTTATTTTTTTAATTTTAAAGGTAAGGAATTTTAAATCACACTTAAAACTATTCTAAATAATTGTTGCTCTGAATTTATACTTTTTAAAATTATGAGCGAAGCTTCACTTAATCAATAGGCTGAAAATGGCATAGCTTCTTCCAACATGAAATTAGAGAATTGTGGGGTGTATATAAGTCAAGTTAGTCATGCAGTTAGAATGTCAATACATAATGGCAAAAGCCCTTTCTTGAAACTGTATAACATGGGACTTTTAAAAGGCCATGTGAACTTTTTTGTCTGTTATGTCATGAACTATTATTGTGACGAAAGATGGGGAGGTAAGTACAGTATTTTCGACTTCTGTACTGCTGATTAAAGACTTCTAGTCTTCTAGGTAATGTGTATGTATTCTGAATGACAATAATTGCTGAAAGATTGGCAGATTTCCTTCACTTTGACAACAGGGTACTAGTTTGAACAACTTTCTCTTATTGTTGATATTCTCTAGAACATGTAAAATAGCAAAGATCCATCTTTGAAACTATAGTATAAAGGATTTTCAGATGATTGAGTGAGGCAAATGATTTAAATGCTTTAATCCATATGTCACTAAGAAGTAACCCCGGGAAAGCTGCTGGTTTTTTGGCTTCTATTTCAGATGAGACTGCTCAGATCCATTATTTGGAGGATATTTTACCATTTCAACATATGCCTGTACATGATCAAGCTGCAGCCTAAAAACTCATAAATAACCCACCCTGACTATAGCGGTAATATTAATTTCCTTCTAATCCTCTGTTTGTTTTGACATCTGAGTATAAAATGCCTCTAATCTTCATTTAATAATTTTTTATGAGGCACTTTTTAACTTTAGCTTCTGCTGTAGCTGAAATGTGGTTTCTCTTGGCTCACATCATCTTGTCTGCTTTGTTCAAGATTTTCCTAAATATTGAGGGTAAAATCTCTAACTATTATATCTGAGAGCAGTATGATTGCTCGGAGCTCCAGTACTTAGAGAGTAAAAAAGACTGTTGAGAGTCTATGGGTTAAATTTAGAGGTGGAAGCAACAGGCGAGATGTTGTGGCTGGTGTCTGCTATAGACTGCCGGATCAGGTGGATGAGGTAGATGAAGCTTTCTTTGGACAACTGAGCGAAGCTTCCAGATTGCAGGCCCTGGTTCTCATGGGTGACTTGAATCAGTCTGACTTCTGTTGGTAGACCAGTAAAGCAGTACACAGACAATCTAGGAAGTTTTTGGAGAATGTTGGGGATAACTTCTTGGTACAAATACTGAAGGAACTGACCAGGGACCATGCGCAGCTTGACCTGCTACTCTCAAAGAGGGAGGAACTAGTAGGGGAAGTAGAGCTGGGTGACAACCTGGGAAGCAGTGATCATGAGATGGTAGATTTCAGGATCCTGACCAAAGGAAGAAAGGAGAGTAGCAAAATACACATCCTGGACATCAGAAGAGCAGACTTTGACTCCCTCAGAGAACTGATGGGCAGGATTCCCTGGGATGCTTACATGAAGGGGAAAGGAGTCCAGGAGAACTGGCAGTATTTTAAAGAAGCCTTATTAAAGGCACAGGAAGAAACCATCCCGATGCACAGCAAGAAAAGCAAATATGGTAGGCGACCAGATTGGCTTACCGGGGACATGGATGGTGAGCTTAAACACAAAAAGGAAGCTTACAAGAAGTGGAAACTTGGACGGCTGACTAGGGAGGAGGATAAATATATTGCTCGAGAATGCAGGGGGAGTTATCAGGGTTAGCAATAAGAAGGTGATCAGAGAGGGTTTAGGGCCCTTACTGGAAGAGGGAGGTAACCTAGGCCGTGTCCAGACTCAGGGGTTTTTTCGGGAAAAGTAGCCTTTTCCCGAAAAAACTTCCCCTGCGTCCAGACTCAAGCCGCGTTCTTTCGAAATTATTTCGAAAGAACGCGGCTTTTCTTTCGATGGCGGTAAACCTCGTTTCACGAGGAAGAACGCCTTCCTTCGAAAGTTCCTCTTTCGAAGGAGTGAAGGATAACAAGAAAGGTTTCTACAGGCATGTTAACAAGAAGGTGATCTGAGAGGGTGTGCGGCCCCTAATGGATGAAGGAGGTAACTTAGTGACAGATGATGTGGGGAAAGCTGAAGTACTCAATGCTTTCTTTGCCTCTGTAGTCACGGACAAGGTTGGTTCCTGGACTTGTACGCTAAGTGACGCAAGATGGGATGAAGATGGACAACCCGTGGTGGATAAAGAACAAGTTAGGAACTATTTAGAAAAGCTAAGCGTACACAAATCCATGGGTCCGGACTTAATGCATCCGAGGGTACTGAGGGAGTTGGCAAATGTCATTGCGGAGCCTTTGGCCATTATCTTTGAAAACTCATGGAGATTAGGAGAAATCCCGGATGATTGGAAAAAGGCAAATGTAGTGCCCATCTTTAAAAACGGGAAGGAGGACAATCTAGGGAACTACAGACCAGTCAGCCTTACCTCAGTCCCCAGAAAAATCATGAAGGGGATCCTCAAGGAATCCATTTTGAAGCACTTGGAAGAGGGGAAAGTGATCAGGAATAATCAACATGGATTCATGAAGAGCAAGTCGTGCCTGACCAATCTGATTAGCTTCTATGATGAGGTAACTGGTTCTGTGGATATGGGGAAGTCAGTGGATGTGATATAGCTTGACTTGAGCTAAGTTTTTGATAGGTCTACCATAATATTCTTGCCAGCAAGTTAAAGGAGTATGGATTGGATAAATGGATAGGAAGCTGGCTAGACTGTTGGGCCCAATGGGTAGTGATCAATGGCTTGATGTCAGGTTGGCGGTCGGTTTCTAGCGGAGTGCCCCAAGGATCTGTTCTTGGACCGGTTTTGTTCAACATCTTTAATGACCTGGATGAGGGGATGGATTGCACTCTTAGCAAGTTTGTAGATGACACTAAGCTAGGGGGAGATGTAGATACGCTGGAGGGCAGGGATAGGGTCCAGATTAGAGGATTGGGCCACAAGAAATCTAATGAGGTTCAACAAGGACAAGTGTAGAGTCCTGCACTAGGGATGGAAGAATCCAAGCTTTACAGGCTGGGGACTAAATGGCTAAGTAGCAGTTCTGCAGAAAAGGACCTGGGAATTCTAGTGGATGAGAAGCTGGATATGAGTCAACAGTGTGCCCTTGTAGCCAAGAAGGCTAATGGCATATTAGGGTGCATTAGGAGGAGCATTGCCAGCAGATCCAGAGAAGTGATTATTCCCCTTTATTCGGCTCTGGTGAGGCCAAATCTGGAATACTGTGTACAGTTCTGGGCCCTCACTATAGAAAGGATATGGACGCATTGGTGAGGGTCCAGCAGAGGGCGACCAAAATGATTAGGGGGCTGGAGCGCATGAGCTATGAGGAGAGACTGAGGGATTTGAGTTTGTTTAGTCTGCAGAAGAGAAGAGTGAGGGGGGATTTGATAGCAGCTTTCAACATCCTGAAGGGAGGTTCCAAAGAGGATGGAGAAAGGATATTCACAATAGTGATGGCAGAATGAGGAGCAATGGTTTCAAGTTACAGTGGGAGAGGTCTAGGTTGGATATTAAGGAAAAGCTGTTTCACTAAGAGGGTGGTGAAGCACTGGAATGGGTTCCCTAGGGAGGTGGTAGAATCTCCATCCCTAGAGGTATTTAAGTGTCAGCTTGACAAAGCCCTGGCTGGGTTGATTTAGTTGGGATTGGTCCTACCTTGGGCAGGGGGCTGGACTTGATGACCTCCTGAGGTCTCTTCCAGCTCTATAATTCTAAGTGTCAGTCTATTCTGTAATCTGAATAATTTTCAGCAATATTCATTGTCTGGTTTGCAGTGTCAGCAATTAATGGTAATCCTTCCTATCATTATGAGTGGGATTATGATACCCCGTACTGACTAGTAAAACTTTATTAACCTTTCTGAGAACTGGGCTTGTTACACAACTTTTTATGTAGTGCATGTGGTAATTAATTAAATTCACATTTTAAAATGTTTGAGCACAGTAAGTATGTTGCTTTGTATAACCACATCTCTGAGGCTGTGCCTACTGCCACAAGCTTTATCCAAACTTCCTTCTTTCATAACAGACTTTATAAATTTCAGTGTAGGTCCTCAGATATATCGTGCTGTATTTGACCCATGGGCTGTTCTGTTTTAGCAGGCCAAGGACAGTCCTACATGCTTCTGCTCTGGTGAAAAGGCAGCAAATTAACCAGCAAAAAGATAGTTCATTCTGAAAGAGTGATCAAAAGCTTTCAACACCTCAGACAGTCTACCTCATTGACTTTTGACTTGCGTGTGGTGGTAGAATAGATGTCCCCTTTATGGTATGGCATTGTGGGGTTGAGAAATACGCATAAAGA